AAAAAAAAAAAAGACATAGACAGGTAGAAAGAAAAACTTAGAATCAAGGCATGGATTTTTTGAGAGTAGTCTCAGGAAAGTACAAGCCTTTGAAAGGAGGAACAGGTTTAGAACCAAAAGGTGAAAGGATTCTTGTTTTCTCTTCGGGTACAGAGCTGACAGGAAGTGAGAGACCCTTAGCCTGGAGCTAGTGTCCTAGTTTTGAAAGAGAGGAATACACTTCTTTGATGCTCTTTGAATGACAGTGGCAAAATGTTAATAATTGTCAAGGCTAAGTAACGGACATAGGAATTCACTAGATCATTCCCTCTACTTGTGTGTATGTTTGAAAATTTTCATGGTTTAATGTTTCTTTAAGTTACATTTACATAGAAAAATCTAGAAAACAGTTGACAAGAGGGACTGCAGTAGGGTGAACACTGAGTTACAGCACTACCTGTACCCAAATTAGTGGTAGAAAGAAAAGGGAGGTAAATCAGTGAGTGCCACCTTTTTTGAAATAACTTGAATGTTCTTTGTTGTTGTATTAGCCTAGGAAAAATCATACACATAATCAGCTTTGAGGGACAATCACTATGTGTTAGTATATGTTTGTGTCACTTCTTAGAAAAGCTGGAACCTGTGAAAGGAACTGGGTTGTTGGTGTTTTTAAGAAGTCTGCATTGAAGATGGAAGCCCCACGTAGGCCAAGGGAGGGGACACAGACCTTCTGAGCTGCTCTGTTTTATACCTCTGGATTGAGGGTAGTCCCAGGAGAGGACTCAGTGGCACCAAGGTGCTCGCCTCTGAGGACAGCCCTGTAACTCAACTGCATCAGTAGCGTCTTGACCGACTTAGAAGCTGTTCTCATTCCCTCCTTGCCCTTCCATGTGGATTTGCTGCCTCCTTGTGTTTCTATTAGAATAAAAATAACAAAAAGCAAGATTATGAGTGGAAACCAAGGAAGACAGATTACTCTTCTCAGACTCCTTTACTGCTTCTTCCTGTTCTCCCCAACTTCTCAGTGGTGGGGTGTGCCCTCCAGGACATTCTTCTCTATTTGTATTCACTCTCTGGGTGACCTCACCCAGATTTATTACTTCAAATACAAGACACTGTTGACCCTTAACAACACAGGTTTTTTGGCAGGTCCACTTCTACGTGGATTTTTTTTCAATAAATACAGTACAGTAAATGTAATTTCTTTTCCTTATGATTTTCCCTTTTTTTTTAAAGATTTATTTATTTATTTGAGAGAGAGCACAAGCAGGAGGGGCAGAGAGAGAATCTCAAGCAGACTTAGTGCTGAGCTCAGAGCCTGACTTGGGGCTCGATCTCACCACCCTGAGATCACGACCTGAGCTGAAACTAAGAGTCAGACACTTAACTGATTGTGCCACCCAGGCACCACTTTATAATTTTCTTAATAACATTTTCTTTTCTCTACTTTACTTTATTGTGAGAATATAGCCTATAATACATATAACATACAAAATATGAGTTAATCAGCTGTTTATATTTTCAGTAAGGTTTCCTGTCAACAGTAGACTATTAGTAGGTAAGTTCTGGGGGAGTCGAAAGTTATACGTGGATTTTCGACTGTGCGGAGGGTCAGCACCCCTAACCCTCACATTGTTCAAGAGTTAACTGTGTAGACGTATGACTCCCAAATGCCACCTCCAAGCCAGACCTGGCACCCGGCTTCCAGGCTCATATATCTGCCTCCAACGTCTCCCTTTGGTGGTTAGGTAGATAGCTCAGAATTCAGCGTGTCTCATACTGTGTGCTGTCTTGTACCCACTCCATCCAGAGCTTTCCCTCTCAAGGTGGATGGCAAGTTCCTCAGGGCAAAAATCCCTGACTTCTCTGTTCCATACCCTACCTCCAGCACATCAGGAAATTCTGTGGTCTCAACCTTCAAATTATGTCCAGATTCCAAAGTGCTTTTCACACCCCTGCTACCACCACCCTGACTTGAACCACGTCATCTCTCCTAGACTAGTGGTCTCCCTCTTCCTGCCATTGCTACCCTAAAGGTCTCCTCAGCATAAGTGAAATCATGATACTTCTCTGCTCAAATACCTAAGTTAGCTCCTCATCTCATTCAGTAAAATCCAATGCCCTTAGAGTGCCTGCAGGCCTTCCATGGTCCGCTGCTTATCTCTCTGCCTTTTCTTGTGACCCCACTCCCCCCACCCCAGCCATGCTGGCCTCCTGAGGTCCCTCCTTGCCTCTGGCTGTGCCCAGCTGAGCCCATTGCCCCAGGCGTGTTTCCGTAGACATCCCCGAACCATCTCCCACGCCTCCTCCAAGCCTTGCTCAGATGTCACCTTCTCCAGAAGTAATGCTCACCCACTCTGCCCATTCTGCTTTAGAGTGCTAGTGGCACTCCTGAGCCCCCTTTTCCTTACCATCTTTTTATTTCTGTAGCATTTACTACCTTCTAACTTGCTCTGTAATTTGCTTGTTTATTTTGTTTACTTTTTATCCCCACCTGGTGGAATGTCAGCTCCATGAAAACAGTGGTCTTTTGTCCAGTTCCTCCGTGTATTTGATGGGCCTAGAACAGGACCTGTCTCAAAGTATTGATTAAAGGGAAAATGGAGGCCGTCAGGGAGGCAGAAGGACACAGGAGAGTCAGGACAGCTGAGAGGCCCAACAGGACAGGAACTGAAGGCTCTCGCCTGAGTGATGACCCTGGCAAGCCCTTTCTCTTTAGTCAGGGAATTCAGTGGAGACGTCTTTCCCCCGTTCATGTCGGGGCAGCGGTGGGCTGTGGGAGCCTTGAGAGGGCGGAAGTTCAGTCATCCGCACACCTCAGAGTGCCCTCTCCAGCCAGCCTGAGGGCCTGCCTCCCGCCAGCACTTGGGCGCACTTGGGCTGCCGTTCTGGAAGCCGACCGGCGCTGCAAATGCCCTGTGTCTGCAGATAACAGACGTCAGTCATTCTCTCTGCTGTAGGGTAGCTTTTCCAACCATTCACACCTGGTTTACAGATGAGAGAACGTTGAAAGCATTTGCAGTTACAAGACCAGTGGGAGTTATTCTCTGCTAATACTTTTAAGAAAGTTGTTTGGTTTGAGGTTGATCATTTGATTTTATAAAAATTATATGCATTTATTTTATAAAAATATAATCGAATATAGGGGTACCTGGGTGGCTCCGTCGTTAACTGTCTGCCTTCGGCTCAGGTCATGATCCCGGGGTCCTGGGATCGAGCCCCGCGTCAGGCTCCCTGCTCATGGGAAGCCTGCTTCTCCCTCTCCCACTCTCCCTGCTTGTGTTCCCTCTCTCACTGTGTCTCTCTCTGTCAAGTAAATAAATAAAGTCTTTAAAATATATATATATGTATATATATATAATGGAATATATATTATATATACGTTTATTTCCTCTTGGGTCTACCTCTTCTGTATGAAAAGCTGGTTGTTACTTTAATAACTAACTTTTCTCATTTTTTTAGACTTTATCAGTAAAAGTTTGCTAAGTCAATTAAATAGCATGCTTGTCATTTGTTATTATTATCCTAGATTTATTTTTCTTTGGGATAAGCCACGAGGGGCCATTCCGATGAACTGCCCGATGGCAGGTCGGAGCTGTCTCCCAGTGCCTTTGGGGACAGTACAGTCAGGAAGCTCAGCTTATCAGAGTCTTCTCACGCTCCCTTCCTATGAACCGGGATATGGTTGCGATGAGTCATGAGAAAGGTGCTTGGCCTGGGGCGTGGGTGACAGTGCTGATTCTGGGGGCTGGGATAATAACTCAGTACTTTCCTTTCTCACAGTTGTTTCCTCTCTTTGCTCCTGGTGGCTGCTGTGGTTTGGAAGATCAAACAAAGTTGTTGGGCCTCCAGGCGTAGAGAGGTAAGCCTCAGTGGATAAAGGTTCCTGAATGCCTGGAAGAGCTTCTTCCCTTTTATTTCTCAAAGCAGGTCAGTTTTAGCTACTTAGCGATCATTGATAGACATACCACAGGGGGGACTAATGCTGCCCGTTCTGCAGAATATGGTCAGTAGATTTTGATTAGTCTATATAAAGTATAATGAGTTCTGCACCACATGCTTGTAACTTTCTGAAAGGAATCTTTAGCATTGACCCATAGCTGCCCATTCTACTCATTCTCCCAGCACTCTGTCCTTAACTCAGGCGGGAGATCGGAGGGCTCAGTAGCAGAGTTTTTCATGAGAACGAGAGTAAAATCAACCAGCTAAGCATCTCAGAAATGACTCATCATTCAAAGAAAGATAAATCAGTGTCTAGTTAAGTTTTTGCTTGAGTTTTACTTTTTAATGAGTCTTGACTTATTTCCAGAGCTCCATTCCAAAAGTCATATCAAAATGAAACAAGATGAAACCAGAGAGGAAGACAAAGCATAAGAGACTCTTAATCTCAGGAAACAAACTGAGGGTTGTTGGAGTGGAGGGTGGTGGGAGGGATGGGGTGATGGGGCGGCTGGGTGATGGACGTTGGGGAGGGTATGTGTTGTGGTGAGCACTGTGTATGATGAATCACAGACCTGTACCCCTGAAACAAATAACACATTATATGTTAATTTAAAAAAAATAAAGAGTAAGTCAAGCAAATATTTACGGTTGACAAGTCAAATAAATAAACTTGGTTAAAAGTGACAACATAAAATCTTTATCGCAACTTGCACCGATGCTGTTACTCTGCCTTCTAGTAGCCCCATCTATTGTTGCATTGTTGATAATGGAAGGGCACTGAGGTCTAGGCTGACGTTTGCTCTTCGGTCTTCTGTATCTACTCATGCCCTTTTCTATATAATAATTGATCTATAGGGGGCGCCTGAGTGGCTCAGTCGTTAAGCGTCTGCCTTTGGGTCACGTCATGATCCCAGGGTCCTGGGATCCAGCCCCGCATCAGGCTCCCTGCTTGGCGGGAGGCCTGCTTCTCCTTCTCCCAGGGAAGTGTTGTGTTTCCTCTCTCGCTGTCTTGTGTTCCCTCTCTCGCTGTCTCTCTCTCTCTCTGTCAAATAAATAAATAAAATCTTTTTAAAAAGATTGATCTGTAGACAAGATTTAGAAGAGAACGGAAATATCCCAAGTCAAAACTCAAAAGCACGCAGCATTGTTCCCTGAACATTAATGTCTATAATGAGAGCTTCCTCCTGGGGGCCATGACCCCTTTTCTGACCCATGTAAAGGTGATGTTAGCATAGAGGTAATGTTGCCTCCTTTTTATTATCCTTCTTAAAATTCAGTGGGTAACATTCAGAAGGATTTTTTAATAGCTCCATTACTAAGACATTTTAAAATCCCAATGAATTGTACAGTGTTGTAAAAAAAAAAAATACAAGTTATCCAAATGGAGTAAGAAAGAAGTGGGAAGCCTCAATAAACCAGTAACCAGGGAAGGAATTGAAAACTTGTCAAAATATTACTCTCTCCACGAAGGGCATTACCCCGGGGGGTTTCCATTTGAGATGAACTTATGGAAATAATAATAGTCTGTTTCTCCTTGAGTGCTTAGGAGAATTAATTATTTCCAAAATATATAAACTGTCCCAGAGTAAGGGAAAAGATGGAAAGCTTAAAGAGTCCTAATTCATTATATGGATAGAAACTTTGAAACCAAATCAAAGGCTAGTCACACAGCAAGTGTATGTGGAGCAGTCTAACTTACCAGTGTAATAACAGGATCATTTCCTACCAGAAAACCTATCAGAATAGGTTATTTCAGTGGGTAAAAATAGAACCTAAATTTTTAGTAGTGGCCAAGTAATCACTTAGCCATTTATTGAAATTCAACGCTGGTTCCTGGTTTAAAAACAAAACTCTTAGTAAACTCAAAAATAATACCTCCTTTTAACACTACAAAGAATATCCAGATAACCAACATCACTCATGATATAAAAATACTAGAAGTTGTACCAACAAAATCTAGACAAGTTTGTCATAATGAGCTGACATTTGAGCTATTCTAAATTCTAGGCACTTTCTAAGAGGTTTTATATAGATTAACTAATTTACCATAACAAGCCCATGAAATAGTTACTGACCCTGTTTCACAGATGAGGAACCTGAAGCTCAGGGAGGTGGAATAATTGACCATTGCACAGTTACTAAGAGGCCAAACTGGGCTTTCAACTTGGGACTTCAGTCTTCACAGGCCACGTGCCTAGTCCTGTAGTCCCCATCGTCACTTAATTCTGTTCTGGATATTCTAGGCTGTGCACTCAGAAAAAGAGAAATGAGAAGTTTTATTACTATTGGAAAGGGGACAAAATTACGATTTTCAGACAAGATGATGGACGCACTGTATAGTAGCGATTTGCCTGCCTAAAAAGTAATACTTAAGTATATCAAAAATACATCAGTGAAGGCAAACAGCCAACTAGAAAACATACTTGAAAGAAAATACGTAGAGGATGAACACCTTGTAGAAAAAAAGGTTTTTAAAAAGTATGCTTATGAATCTAAATAAAATTTTTAAAAGATACTTCTTCATTCTATAGGAATGGTGACTCTCTGGTGGAGGAAAGATTTTCTTTCTTTTGCCACACCGGAGAGCATGCTTTATCAAAGAGGAGGGAAGAATTAGAAGATTCCTACCTCACAGGGTTAGGATAGGCTTTATTTAGGTTCAGTAAGAATAACAGTTTCTTCAGCATATTATTTTTTAAATCATTTAAACTTTTTTAAAAATCCCAGATTAAACTTCTTAAAGTATGCTTATGACACGGTTGTTATCAACAAATTAAGCTTTTACCCTTGTGATTTAAAATTTCTCTGTAACTGTGAACCTGACTGTTCAAAATACATTTCAGCATCTCTACAATTTCAGTCATGTCTTATCCCTCTCAGAATTGTGGAAGAAATGACTTAATGGGATTTATAACAACAAAAATAATAGCAGCTGACACAACTTAAGTGCTTGCTAGATGCCAGGCCCCGTTTTACTTGTTTTTACACACATTATCTCCTGCACTCTTCATAAAGGAACTTCTGAATTAGGGGAGCATAGGTACCCTGTCCTACTGTGACTCCAGCTCTGGAATAGCACAGAACCCAGAGTAGGGTTGCTGCATATATTTGTTGAGTAAGTGGACCAACAGCTTGACAAGATGTAGAATGTTAGTATTTTAAGAAAATGTTTAACATAAAAATATCCTTCTAAAACTGAGCCCTGATCTATCCAGACTAAGATTCTGTCTCCTACCATAGTTCCAAGGGGGTGGTTTGAAGTCAGGCCTTGTTGTCTTCCATGGCATGACCTCCAAACTTCAGTGACATGCCCAGATCTCCAATATCCTTAATGATATATGATTGATAGATACTGATCCACCATGTGCTAGGTGCTAAGCTGGTTTCAGTGTCTCCTTTGAACCTGCTAACACTCTTAGGACTAAAAACCCATTTCAGAGAAGAGGGAACTGAAACCCAGACACTTTAAACACCTTTTTTAAGGTGATACAGCTGGAAAGCTTTGGATCAAAGATTCACACCCAAGCCTCCCTAAATCCCAGAGCCCCTGCCTGTCCCTCTGACTTTGTCACACTTCACATTTGTTTGTTTTCAGCTTATACCACCCCTGTGAACAAAGAGCTCTTTCCATTCCTATCTGTGGTCTCAATACTTGGTTCAAGTTTCAGTAGGAAAGAAGAAAGCCTGGCTTTAGTAACAAAAATATGAGGAGACAGGGCTACATCATTTATTTTATGTACTTAACAAACAGGCAGCATAGCATTCTGTCCATCAGTACTTTAGCATGTATCTGTAACAGGCAAGGACTTTTTCTTTAATATGATGATAGTGCTGTTATCACATCCAACAAAATTTAGTAAGTCCTGATGGTACCTGGTCTGTGTCCACTTTTCTCCAGCTGTCTCAAAAATATCATTTTGGACTTGATTTGTTTGAAGCGGGCAGGATGAGATACTTTTTAATATGTCAAGTTCCCTAATAAAATCCCCTCAGCACTCGGTGCACTAATGCTTGCCACAATATTACTCCATAGCAACTTCTTCGGGAGATGCAACAGATGGCCAGTCGTCCCTTTGCCTCCGTAAACGTTGCCTTGGAAACAGATGAAGAGCCTCCTGATCTTATTGGGGGAAGTATAAAGGTGAGAATGTGATTCAAAAGTCCCGAAAACTTGTCAGAACTCAGGCTTCTAAGTCTGGGGAGACCACAGAGAACAAGAGCCTTATTCTGTTGCCTCGTAATTATGTGTTCCTCTCTCTCTTTTTAACAGTAAGGCAACATGCTGATGTTATCAGATATTCTTTTGCTTTCATTTTTCAGTCTTTCATGTTGTTAAGCATTCTCGTGTTCAAGGAATTTAAAAATATGAATGGTTTGTCTCAAATTCTTGTTAAGTATTCTATGGCGTAATACTTTAAAAATTTATATTGGAAAAGAGCTAAATTGAAACACTGCTTTTTATAAGTAGTTTAGGGAATTTTCTTAAAGGGGCAAAAATTATAATTCACTATGTATTCCATGGAATATAAATATTTCTGACTCCTCCCAAAAAAATGATGAAGAAAGAAAAGTTTCTCTTTTAGCAAAATGAAGAACTATTTCAGATGCTCTGGGGAAACAGTTATAGAACCTGAATTTTAAAATACTTATTAAAGCATTACTGAGCTCATAGGAAGTAGGTGAAATTCCCAGGGAATATTCTCCTATCCCTCCCCCAAAAAAGAACAAATCGTGAACCAAAACCAGAACAATGTGTGGTCTGAAGTGGTTCCAGATTGGTAACACACCATGACTCCCAGCCGACGTAGGTGTAGATCCTCTCTGTGGGAAAGCATCCCCATTTCAGCCATGTAGGATCCCCAGAGATCAAGATCAAGCAATCAGAGATCACCAAGGACAATAGAGACAAGCCACTAGGAGTAGGAGTTAGCAGACACTGTGGACAGTGGTTTAGACAGGACTTCACACATTAGGGCAGCATCTAAAGCATATAATATAGCTCTGTATGAAGTGTTTAAAGACGTGGAAGATGGAATCCTAAAGATGAGGACACCATGAATCAAGAATGACCAGATCTAAAAAAGAACCAAATGGAACTGTTAGAAATGGAACATACAGGGGCAGCTGGCTGGCTCAGTTGGTAGAGCACGTGACTCTTGATCTCGGGTTCCAGCCCCATGTGGGGTATAAAGATTACTTAAATAAATAAATAAACCTAAAAAAAAAATAAATGGAACATATAACTCAGTGTACATTTTAAACAGCACATCAGATACAAGTAAAGACAGAACTTTTGAACTGGAAGATGAATCTGAAGAAATTGCACAGAATGCAGAACAGAGAGACAAGAAAATGGAAACTATGACAAATGGTAAGAATATGGAGGATACAATGAGAAGACCTAACGTGTATTTTATATCTATACTGTAGGATTGCCACAGTGTGAAGAAATTAGAACCCTTGAGCACTGTTAGTGGGAATGTGAAATGATGTAGCAGCTGTGGAAAACAGTACTGGTCTCCCTCAAAAAAAAAATAAAAATAGAATTGCCATATAATCTGTCAGTTCCTTTTCTGGATATATACCTGCAAGAATGGAAGGCAAGGTCTCAAAGATATATTTGTACACCCATGTTCATAGCAGCATTATTCACAGTGGCTAAAAGATGGGAGCACCCTAATGTCCATCAGTAGATGAATGGGTATGCAAAATGTGGTCTATACAGACAAAGGAATATTATTCAGTCTTAAAAAGGAAGGAAATTCTGACACCTGCTACAACATGGGTGAAACTTGAGGACATTATGCTAAGTGAAATAAGCCAGTCACAAAAAAATACTGTAAGATCCCACTTTTCTGAGTTATCTAGAATACTCAAGTCCACAGCGACAAAGTATAATTGTGGTTGTTAGGGGTTGGGAGAGAGGGGAATAGGGAGTCACTATGGGTGTAGGGTTTCAGTTCTGCAAGATGAAAAGAGTTCTGGAGATCGATGGTGATGATGGTTGCATAACAATATGAATCTACTTAATACCTCTGAAGTGTACACTGAAAAAGGGTTAGGATGGGGGTTCCTGGGGGGGCTCAGTTGGTTAAGCGTCTGCCTTTGGCTCAGGTCATGATCCCGGGGTCCTGGGATCGAGTCCCACATCAGGCTCCCTGCTCAGCGGAGAGCCTGCTTCTCCCTCTCCCACTCCCCACTTGTGCTCTCTCGCTATCTCTGTCTCTGCCTCTCTCAAATAAATGAAGTCTTAAAAAAAAAAAAAAGGGGGGGTTAGGATGGTAAATGTTCTGTCTATTTACTACATTAAAAAAAATAACTGGGGGGAAAAAAAGAAAAGATCACCTAAAGGATATGACAGAGCAGCAACTGACTTCTCATTGGTAACATCGAAAGCCAAAAGAGCGTGGAAGAATGTCTCTAAATGACATCAGGAGGAGAACTGCCAACCTAGAATAGCATGCCCAGTAACTGCCTTCCGAGAACAAGGACAGAAGCACGATTTCTTCCAATGAGAAGGAAAGCTGAGTTGGCCACCACAGACCTGTACAAAAGAAATGTCTACCGGATGTGCTCAGAGAAAGGCCTTACTACCCAGGACTGAGGAATGAGAAGGAATAGTGAGAAAGTGAAATGGTAAGCATGTACATAAATCTAAGCGAACATGATAAAATAACAATTTGTGGGATTAACAAAACAGGCAAATCTAAAGTACTAAGCCAGCAGCACTATATGTCATATGGCAATGGCATATGACCCAGGTGGTTACTCCGTCGAATGCTTTATTGATGCTCTTTCCAGGACACACACCCTCTCACCTTTTGGGGGCTCTTGCTCAGTGTTCTCTGTTCAGCCCTCTCCATGGCCCCACACCACTAACGGTGCAGGGCCACCTCAGTCTTTGGGCCTCCTCTCACGTCTTTTTGCACCCAGTCCTTCGGTGACTTAGTCTGTTCGAGCTGCTATAACAAAGCGCCGGAGACTGGGTGTCCTAGAAACAACAGAAATTTCTTACAAATTCTCAAGGCTAGGAAGTCCAAGATCAAGGTGCTGGCAGATTCAGTGTCTGGTGAAAGCACCCTTCCTGGTTCGTAGATGGTGCCTTCTCTCTCTGACCTTACATGGTGGAAGGGGCTAGGGAGCTCTCGGGGGTCTCTTTTATGAGGGCACTAATCATCTCTCAAAGGCCCTACCTCCAAATATCGTATTAGGCATTAAGATTTAACATTACGGATTTTAGAAGGACACAAACATTCAGACGACAGAAGTGATCTTTTCCATTGTGGGTTTATTTTAACACCATCTCTCTGCTCAGACCTCTCCTGTGAGCCTCCGACTCCTATATCCAGTTGCTTGCTTACTCGGTATCCCCAGTTGGATGTCTTAGCAGCCATCTCAGAGTTAACATAGCCAAAGCTGAGCTCTGGATATTATCCCCCACACCTCTTCTTGGCATATCGCCCCCAACTCAGTACATCATCCTAGCCGTTCAGGCCAAAGTCATGGAACTGTGCTTGCTCTGTGCTTGCTCTCATTCTCATTGGACAGCCAGTCCCATCAGCACACGTCTTTGGTTCTGCCTTCCACCCCCACACACACCTACACCCCTATCACCACATTGTCCTCTCACCCACCCCGTCCTTCCCTGTGCTGCAGCCACAGTGGTTCCAGAAGTCATTTTCTTCAACCAAATTGAAGAAATGAATGACATATTTGGGGGTATGGCAGGCAGAATTCTAAAGATGGCCGCCAAGATTCCCAGCTCATGGTTTTTCAGTCAAACACTATTCTAGGTGCTGCTCTGAAGGGATTGGGCAGAAGTCATACAAATCCCAAGGTAGCTGAGACCTTAAGACACTGGTACTTTCCTCTGGCTGGTGGCAGAAGAGGAAACATGCAAAGGACTTGGCACACCACCACTGATTTGAAGCTGGAGTTTAGCCCCCTGCAGCAAGGAAGTGGGGACCTCAGACCTACAGTTGCAAGGAACTGGATTCTGCTGGCCATGTGAGGTCGCCTGAATGAGTTTTGAACAGATTCTTCCCTAGAGCCTGTACAAAAGAGCCGGCCCAGATGCTAACTTGACTTCCACCTGTGAAGATAAGAGCTGAGATCATGGAGACCTTTGAGAGATAAGAGCTGGGAATTTTCCAGAACTGATGGAAGAGATGAGCAGACCTGTATCTGTAAGCAGGAACCCTACAGAGCTCTCCTGGACTTCCAACCTGCCCAACTGAGATAGATAATAAATAGGTGCTGTTTGTAGGCAACTAAGTTTACACAGCAGTAGAAACTAATAGAGGGCATCTTTAAAAATTACGAGGGGGGTGGGGTAACTGGGTGATGGACATTAAGGAGGGCACTTGATGTAATGAGCACTGGGTGTTATATAAGACTGATGAATCACTGACCTCTACCCCAGAAACCAATAATACATTATATGTTAATTAATTGAATTTAAATTTTAAACAAATGAAAAAAAATCACGTGTGAAGGCTGCGTCATTAACACTTGAGAAACACTGGTTTAGGTAATTCTTTGTTATCTCCCACCAGACTGTTCCCAAACCCATTGCCCTGGAGCCGTGTTTCGGCAACAAAGCTGCTGTCCTCTCTGTGTTTGTGAGGCTCCCTCGAGGGCTCGGTGGAATCCCTCCTCCTGGGCAGTCAGGTGAGTGGATGAGGGCCAGTGACAAACCAGACGTGAACTTGGGTAAAGAAGCGATAGTGAACAGGAGGCACGTGCCTACCTCGTGTCATTGTAAGGATTCAGGGAGATGATCCCATTGTCCCTGGTGTTCCCTAAACTGTCCAGAGGTCGTGGTTCCTTCGCAGGGACGAGCTGGGATTGCCCCTCTCCCTCGGCCTCCCGGAGTTATGGACACTTCCGGCCACACCTTCCCTTCCCTATGCTCTTCCGTGGTCATCTCACCTACTCTCATGGCCCCCAGCTAGCTCCTCCAAGCTGGCCACTCTCAAACTGGTATTTCTAGCACTACTGCATGTCTTTTGCTTTTTTACTCTGTTAAATATAAGGCACAAATAGCAATTACAACAGCTTAAAGGAAGTCTTGGAAGGGTACTCACAACCCTACCATCCAGCACCCACCAGTGTTCATTTTTCTCTTTCCTTTCCAGCCCTGGCCAGCAGCTTTGTTGAAATGATTGTATAGATCTAATTTTTATTCTTCTTTTTTCATATAACTATCATAAACATTTTGACACTTTGCTATATAACATTTTATACCAGTTTCTTTTATGCAATTCCATCAGGTACACAAATCATAACTTCGATAAACATCCTCTTATTAAACACTAAGGAGATATGGAATACAGTTTCGGAAATATCCTGATTAATCGTGGAGTACTTTGGAGGGATCCCTCAGACAAGATGCACAATATGGGTTTTGTTTTTTTTTTAAGATTTTATTTATTTATTTGACAGAGAGATAGCGAGAACAGGAACACAAGCAAGGAGGGGAAGGGGGAAAAGGAGAAGCAGGCTTCCTGAGGAGCAGGGAGCCCGATGTGGGTCTCAATCCCAGGACCCTGGGATCATGACCTGAGCCGAAGGCAGACGCTTAACAACTGAGCCACCCAGGCGCCCCGCACAATATATTTTAGACAGCTTTCAGTTGAAGTGATTCTGGGGGTCAGGGTTACCTTAGCCAAAGAAAGCCTTGTGTCTGTGATAAAGTATGTCTCAGAAATCTTGCCCAGCCCCAGAGCTCCAAGCCTCCTGAGTGCAGCCCTCAGATCCAGAGCCGCCTCCAGCTGAGCTCTCGAAACAGTTTCTGGGTCCTCACGAGGGAGGCCTTTAGGCTTGGCCAGGCCAGGCTTTATTGTCTTCATTTCATAGGGGAACAGCTTGATTTGCTCTGACCTAGGGATGTGAGTTCAGCTCCTAACTCAGCCTTATCCATGTCAAGGACAGAATGACCCATTGACCTGAACTCTGGAGCATTGTCTCCTGTCACTTCCTCAGCAAACTTGGCCTGCGCTCTCTGAGAGCAAGACCCTGGCTAGAGTAGGGAGGTGACAGGCTTGCAGTACTGTGGCCTTTCCTGCCCTGTCCTTTCCCTGATAGGCCCCATCCCCTTCAGTTCCTGATGAAGGCTGGCTCACTGCTTGAGACCCACCCCAAGTGAGACCATTCCCCCATTTTAGATGGTCTCTTATCTACCCCCCATTTTAGATGGTCCTTCCTCTGGACTCTGCCTTTGCTAAACAGTGTCACTGGTGTGGATTCCCCACTGCACGCCAGGCACATAAAAGCTCCCCTCCACCCCCCCATTCCTCCATTTTTATAGGCTCAGTGGAGTAACAGGTGGCACTAACATGGCTCCTGAGAACCTCAGCTGGGTGGTGAGCCTCCAGTGGCTCAATCACACGCGTTGAGAATCCAGCTCCCCCAGAACTGTGCCTTCCCCACTGAACATCAGGTTAATCAGTTCCTAGTACAAAAAGGAGAATAGAACCCACTAGTCCCTAAAGCAAGGGTGGTGGGGGTGGTGGGATGACGAGCCAGGTACCATTCTAAGATGTTCACGTGGGTTCACTCAGTGACCCCTCACACATGCCCTGTCCAGTGATCATCCCCATTTTACAAATGAAGAAACAGAGGCATGGGGCGGTTTAGATCCTTATGTATTCCAAAGCCTGGCCCCAGAGTCTGTCCTAACCTGTCTATTAGGATAGATACGAAAATAACCAGTGCTGGCTGAGTGATGTGGAATGAACTTGAATTTACTGATCAATAGCGCTGCTTTTTCTTGGCACCCTTCTGGAGGCCCGCAGAAAGATGTAGCACTTAGAGCATGACTGCAGTGTTTCTTAAATGCTCCAACTGCCAGGCTGAGCTCTTTGCTTCGCTGATCTGCTGAACAGCAAAAGCTACATCTGTTGTGTGAAAAGTGGGGAGGGGGGAAGAATAAGTATGTGCATTTGCCTCAGTGAACCCTGAAAGGATATATACAGATTACTGAAAGCAGTGCTCGGGTGGAGGGAGGCACAATGCAGAAGGAAGGCTTTTCCCCTCTATACTTCACTTATTTATTTGCTCATTGCACCCCGGGAATGTTAAAGGAAAAAAAAAGTTTTCTGAAATTATGTTTAAAGACGAAGCAAGCTGCCCCTGACCACGTGTTCCCCATGGGCTCTCCCCAGGTCTCGCGGTAGCCAGCGCCCTGGTGGACATTTCTCAGCAGATGCCAATAGTGTACAAAGAGAAGTCAGGAGCCGTGAGAAACCGGAAGCAGCAGCCCCCCGCGCAGCCTGGGACCTGCATCTGAGGCCGGGCCGGGGACTCTCCGTGAGCGAGCCGGGGGTGGGGAGGGTGGGGTGTGGCCGGCGCGCGGGCGCCCTCTGCAGGGAGGGGGCAGGCGGGGAGATGCTGCGTGGAGCGGGCTGAAGACTGGAAACCCTCGAAACATCGACTCCTCTGCATGTTCACGAGCTTTCTTTGCCGGTTTCTCCCATGTGTGCTCCAGCATCTAACCTTTTACTTTTGCATAGGAAATAATTGATTTAATGGCAGATCCAGGGGTGACCCAGTTGTTGCTGGAGGAGGCCGGGGCAGAGCCAGTGAGAGAGCTGGGAGCAACACTCAGGTTCACTTGTGGAAAACTGTTCTTGGGGCTGTCTCAACTTGCAAAAAACCGAAGATGTAGTGTTTACAAGTAGACATCCACCACCAGTCGTTCTTGAACATGGTCTTTTAAAAACTAGTCAGATGAATGAATTTGTCCTCATCTGAAGCCTGCTATCTTTTTTAAAAGATGTGCTACTTATTCTTGCATGACGTAGGCAAACCTCTCTCTTGCAGGGAGTAGCTTTTTTCTAGTTGAGAATAAACAATGGTCCATCTCTTTTGAATCATATCAAACTAAGGTAGAAGGGGGCTATTTTAAATGTCAAGGTCAGCAGTGTTACTTAGAATGTAAACTGATGTAATAGGTAGTTTTCTATAGCAACTTGATTAATTTATTCTTAATCCATTTGAAATCCTCTCCCTCTCTCTGTCTCTCCCCCTCTCTCATGTCTCTCTGTCTCTCTCTCTCACACACATACACACACACTAAGTGCCTAGACTTGAAATAGATCTAGCAATTGGAAAGTTAGTAAGCCTAAGTTTTTCCATAATTGCATTCCTACATTCTTAAAAAATTTAAATAGCTACCATTGGCAATCTGCTCTTTTTCTAAAATCTAATTTGCAGCCAGGAAAGAATTTTCTCATCCCAGGGAACGTTTAACCTAGCAGCAGGGACTGAGAGGAAAGCAGAAATGACCAAGCTGTGAAAGCTCCTGTTTATGTTGTTGTCAAAAGACAGAAGCACTAAATAAGGTGTGGTCCTTGTGTGCTCCCTGCCCGCTGCCCCCCACTCTAGGCCTGACATTGGCTCCAGCCCTTCTGGCCACTCCTGCCAGGACACCACAGAGGCAGGGACTCGTCCATGTTACATGTCTCCCTTGGGCAGAAAAGAGCATGCCAGCCCTTAGGATCCCTGCATCAAAGAGCAACAGTGTGCCCTACAGCCTGCCTTGAGCCGGTGGGTCATCCTCAGGCTGCAGGTGGAATCGCACGCCCAAAGCCTGGAGAAGGACCTAGAACTGTTTGCCTGCTCTCCTCCAGGAGAGGCTCAGCTCGGCCCTCCCATCCTCCTTCTCAGCCCCGGGTGGTAGCTGTGGGCAGGGCAGTGACCACTGAGAAGGATGAAAAGCACATGGAGCACATAAGGAGGAATAACCATGCCAAGTGGAAAGTGACCAAGTTGAAGTGGGGGCGGGGCAGTCCTGCTCTTCTTCGTAGGCTGCTGCCTGGGGGTCATGGTGTCCCTGTGTATGGTGCTCTGTATTCCGGCATTATGCGGCAGCCTCCCCAGGTCTTTCTTCCGCTTCAAAACTTGGGGTTCTCTAGCATCACCCCGTAGGGATGGCCCTCTAGACAACCACACTCATTCGTGAATTTGGAGAAATTAATACTGGAAAGAGCAAAGACTGCAGCTTTTCACCTTTACATGCAGTGCCTAGAGTAGGAGCGCTGTCTCTTTCCCAGCCCTCACCCATGAAGAGTTGCCTGGAAAGATGTTTTCATGGAAGTTGAACCCTAAAACACTGTCTGATGCACAAAACACCTCTACTTTGAGACTCGCCTCTCAAAAAGCTGCTTTTTCACATCATTGGCAAAGAGCAGACAATTCTAGAAAAGACCCCCTTCTCTCTCAAGCTTCCCACATCCCTGCTCCACATCACGGCACCCACAGAGAGCCTGCCTCAGACTGGCGCTTTCCCCCTATATTGCCATGAGGCCTCTTGGCAGAGAGAGGGAGGCCGCTGGAGAAGGACCCCCCACAAGGAAAATCCTTGTTTGTTCAAAGGACCAGTGTTTCTCTGGCCAAAGAAGTCTCTTCCCCATGGCTTCCCAGGCCTTGAAATAACATGCACCGTGTCCCATAGCCACCTGGTTTGGTGTTTAGGTTTTCTAGAAGATAGCTTATTTTTAAAAAGGAAGGGAAAAGGAGCAAGTGATGTTTACTTCTGCTCCAACAGTGGAGAAACAGCTGACTCCACCTGCTTCTCCTTTGCAGCCCTTAGCAAACAGCTTCCTCGGGGCTCAGGCCAGAGGAAGGGAGGGGCAGGAGAAAAAGGCACTCAGCTTAGCAGCCAGTTACCAAGAGGGAATCATCTGGAACTTCGGAGGAATGCCTGCGTGTCACAGGAGAGCCTGTATATAAGTTAAACTAGTCATGAAAACATTGATGTTGCACTTGTACATAATTATACAGTAGTGTCCAGAATGTTCAGACATTCAGAGTGTACATAAAACAAAACTATGTTGATGTATTTTTCTTAAATGTCACGGTGTCTGAGTTTTACCTAATATGTTTTTGTGCCACATACCGGATATCCAAGTCTGAAGAAGTCCTCTCATTGGGCCCTGATACATTGATAACAAAACCAAAAAAGTGGGGGGCATCCCCATCATGCCAGTGTGTCCAGATGCATCTGGTCCGAATTGGTTGATTCTAAAACAGAAATCGTCTGCCGGGACACAGAGGAGAACTCAGGCATTGAGCCCATTTAAACAGCATTGTGTGAGGAGCCTCGAAGGCAGTGGGCATGTCGCTGTCACTTGCCGGCTCTGCAAGGGGGTCACGAATCTTTCTGTTAGCCTCTTGCTACTGTGCCGGGCCACGGATGACCAGTCTTGTCCTGAGAAGCGTTTCTCTTAGTCTCTCAGTTCAAAGACTCTATGAGGTTTTCCAGAAAGGGGTTTTCCAGGCTGCCTTTTGTTCCGTTTGGTCTACAATTTTAATGACCCTTTCCCGGGACTGTAGTTTCCTGTCCTGAAAACCGAGGGGTGGGAGTGGGATGGCCAGTTCACTGACAGATAGCTCCCGTTCCCTCCTGCGGATCCGCGCACAGCCCGGCCTCCTGTCCGTGCCCCGCTCCTCGTCTTACGGCGCTCCCTGTGAGATCAGCTCAAAGACATGGGAGGAGGTGTGGAGAGAAGGCAAGCCACGCTGCCCCCGCAGCCCCCGAGCTGCCCTGGAGGAAAAGCAGCCCTGGGCAGGAAAACAGCAGAACATCTGTGGGTGAGGCCTGAGGCGCCCGATGGGAGACGCACCGGCCGGGAAGCCTGGGGCGGACGTGGGCGCGTGAGAAGACCAGCGCCCTCTCGGTAGAAAGAAGACATGGGACCTTTTCAGTGCAACTCGCTCCGTCAGTTCAACGGAGTGTATCTGGGGGAGGGGGTGGGGGCTCACTTCCTGCGGTGCTGGTGTCATTTTTGAGAACACCTTTGATCCTTTAGTCTCTTTCATCCATCCACACCCTCAGTGAATACTCCCTAGCACTTACTAACAACCTGAGCTAACGCTAGGGCAGTGACCAAGACGGAAAGAAGCTCTTTGGAATTACAGCAAAGCCCAGCTCGCGCCCCTCATCCCAGGAGACCTTTCCTCGTGGCAGTTTCTGTGAGAATTGGCCGCCCTGATGACAGACCCAGGAAGGGAGAGGGTCTGTCCTGGGGCCGAGCACCAGTTCTCAGTCTGAAACGTGTGCCCAATTTACCAAGCTCGGCTCCAACCATAAAAATCACCGTGATGGCAGGCCCGCCAAGAGACGTTTGCCCGGAATCGTTCCAACTCCTGAACACCCTTACCTGCAGGGAGATGATCTGGAGTGGAGAGGGGAACTGGCGCCTTCTCTTTCAAAGGCAATAATGGAATTGACTTTCAGTAACTGAAATTTGTGCACAAAACATTCTAAACACTAGTGAAGCCTGTTTCGTTGAACTAATTCTGGCTCTGGAAATGTTTTTGTTCTATAGGTATTTACGGTTTTTGTTTTTGTTTTATTTTTGGTTTGGATTCAAGCTTAGTTTGTTAATATGTATAATTTAGCATCTCTTGCACTCATGTAAATATGGAGTAAGTATTGTAAACTATTTCATTGCTGGGGACTGTGGGTGTTATACATACATTTAGGACTGCAATTTTTTGGTATTTTTTGTATTGTAAAATAACAGCTAATTTAAGCAGGAACAAGAGAATTAAGGGAGGTCTGTGCATTTTAAACACAAATGTGAAGAACTTGTATATAAACAAAAGTAAATACTATAATACAAACTTCCTTCTGAAATAAAAGTAGATCTGGTAAAAATGTGGTTTTTGCTCCGAGTGTTGAATTTTGATTTTGTGTTGTTTTCCTTTATTTTTACAGTTTGGTCATTAGAACCTTACGAAAGGGGGTTACCAGTTTTCAGACTAAGAGGAAGCACTTGGCATTGAGTGAAGGTCAAGGTATAAAACCAGCAGGGTGGGCACCTCGGCTACCTCTTGGGGTGACGGGGTAGAGAGAGCCCTGCGCAGCTTGTTAGCAGACTCCTAGCGTCCCCACTGTAGGTGGTGTTGCCCTTGAAACGACCGTGCTGGGGGTGGGGGTGGGGAGGAGATCGGTGTGCAGGGCAGCTCTGCCCTGGCATGGGAGGTTCCCCGGGGTAGGGGCGGACGGGGGCTAGGCACAGCCCAGGCACCCCAGCTGCCCTTGGTCTTTCACCTTCTCGTTCTCTCATGGGTTCCTGAATGTTTAGGTTTTCCAGACTGCTCAGTCTCGGGTGTGCTGACAGGTTGAGTACTCCACGGCCACAGCGTTGTCCTTGGTTCGGAGGTTTTGATCTTTTTCCCACCCAGAAAGCTGTGTCTGCGGGTGCGGCACCTGTACGTGGAGCAGGGTCAGAACGGTGCACTTTGGCGCCCTGGTGTGGAATGCAGGAGCCCCAACAGGAAGGTCAGCGTAAGGGGGGTTGAGAACTGAAGAGGAAACACAAGGAAATGCCGTGGATGCTGGAGGGGAGGGAGGCCGGGGCACCAGGTCCCGCCGGCCCACCAGCGCTTGGGACTGGGCTGGGGAGGTAAGTGGTTGCCTGGTGGCCACTGCCAGGGTGGAGAAGACCACAAAACTGTTCAGGGGGGAGGGCTGTGGGAGCCACCAACTGCTTAAGACAGGATGAAAACCTGGGAGTGCGTGGTTTGTGGCAGAGACAACACCATGTGCTCACCAAACCCGTTAGATTTTGCCATTGGACCCCCCCCCCGGGGGGGTGCATAAACTGAGCTGTGGCCGAAGAAGTGATGGACACCAGTTCCAAACTTGGCCCATACGGTGCTCCCGCATGGGACTCCCTGGAGGTCAGGTGCCAGAGAGGTTGGAAGGCACGTGGGTCACCGAGTCACCAATTAGAGGCAAGTCCCCTGCTGAGCAAGAGCTGTATGCTGGTCTTTGCATCACTGAAAGGAAACTTCTACTCTAACTGATCCACTGAGATTGGTGGTTTATTACCACAAGTGGCTTTTCTTACCTCACTGATAGATTGGTACCCTGAAGTTCGGGGCAACCGTCACCAAAACCTAAAATGCAGGGCTTTGGCTTAGGTCGTGGCCAGTTGGCAGGCAGGGAGCAAACATGGCGGCAGCAGAACAGCTGGGGTCCCCGCCAGGCAGGCACAAAACATCTGGTGAGGCTGTTCAAGTTCAACCGTCTACGTGTCTGCTGAGTTTTTAGCTCAGAGGGAAGAAGGTCAAAAAAGAAAGAAAGAAAGAAACCCAGAATGTGGCATGTGTTATTATTGGCTGCTTTTGGCGAGGCACCACAAGGAGGAGTTGACTTCCAGAAAGAATTAGCCAGTTTACAAGCCGAAGGGGAAGGAGGATCCTGAAATCCAGGGTCTTGCAGTGCTGGAAAAGCCAACTCCTCTTGCTTCTGGCCTCCAAACACTAAGAGGCGCTCACGATCCACAGAGACCCAGTAATTCTCGGCCTCCCCAGGTGAGAAGCAGGTGGAGGGTGTGGTCTTCCCGCCTGGGCCTCGGAACCTCAAGGCCAGCATCTTGAGGGAGAGGCAACAAGGAAGCAAAGATAGAAAGCCAACTTGAGAACTGCGTCCAGGAAAGAACCAGGAATGTCATTGCTGACCCTGGATCTGCCTGGGAAATAAATAAAAATGTAGGTTTTCGGGGCTCCTGGGTGGCACAGTCGGTTAAGTGTCCGACTCTTGATTTCGGCTCAGGTCATGAACTCAGGGTGGTGAGATCGAGCCCTGAGTCAGGCTCCGTGCTCAGCCAGGAGTCTGTTTCTCTCTCTCCCCTCTGCCCTTCCCCCCCACTCGCTCT